TAGCATATGTAGGATCAGTAAGGTGAGGACGTGGAATTTCTCCACTGATATATCCTAGTTTCCCACGACCTTGAATCACCATGAGTACCGATTGGGACCACTGTAAAAAATTCTTCCCATCTAATCGATGATTAGTGATTGTGAGGGACGAATTAACATTACTATGAGATAGTGCTTGGTTGACATTCTGAGTTACTTGTGAAGTCTCGGAATCAGAAATATTTCCAGTGTTTGCCGTGATAGAAAAACAAGACACGAGAGAAAAATAAAGAAGTAGAATGGATCAGAAATATCCCTACAACTCTGATACCATGAACAAATTTGAGAAAAATGATTCTGATATTTCTCTAACAGCATATTACATCTTTTAAAGTAAGAATTAGTGTAAAAAATAGGAAAGAATTCCTAAAAATTAAGAAAGAATCCCTAAAAATTAGGAACTACAATTAGAGACATATTTACACTAAGTTAATTCCTAAAACTAAGGAAGAAGATTCAGTCCCTTAATTCTAGGATTTCCAACAAAAACACCACTCTCTTGTAGATTGAGTAGCTCTAAAGTTTGTGCATTATGATTGTTATTATTTGGATAATTAAGATGGTTCTTGATTTCTTTTCACAAGTAAAATGATGATATTTGAAAGTTATAGGGAAATATTTACATGAAAGATGATAAGATGCCTTCTTAAACATAATTACCTTGTCGTGTTGCATGATAATAGGAAGTGCCCATCTGCAGTGTTTTAAGATGAAGCCAAAATAGCATTTTCTACATTTAAGCTATTGGGTTGCAAAGTGAGATTTATTTACGGCCTCTTTAATATCCATGTGTATTATCGTTTGTTTGAATCTCAAAAGTTTGCATGAAGCTCCCACAAGACCCTTTTTTTCCACTCTGCCAGTCACTTGTCTGGTCCATGTTGTAGTTTCTGTCTTTACTATTTTAAAAGTAAAAGCATGACACCTGTAATTTCTTCTTGTTTCTTTGGATTACAGATTATAATGAACCAGTTGTATGATGTCATGTATGATTTTAACTTCTCTCTCCCCCCGGGCTATGCTTTAGTGGTAAGAGCTCTTGGTTCACTAGAAGGAACAGCAAAAGTTCTTGATCCTGATCTCAAAGTAGTTGAAAGTGCATACCCTTTTGTGATTGGGAGGCTTTTGGCCGATCCAAATCCTGATATGAGAAAATTTTTAAGGGAACTTCTCATCTGTAATAATGGATCCATTAGATGGAACCGCCTGGAGCGCTTGGTAGGCCTTCTCTCTTTGTTTTACAAATGCAGACTAGTCCATATTTACTATGAAATTGTATCTTCTAGTAATATATAAAGACGATTGTCCATTTTAGTTCACAATCTGTCTTCATACCATTAATGACCGGGGCTCATCTCATGTCAGGTAGCAGCCATATCAGAACAGGCATCTGAATCGTCTGAGGAGCCTCCAAAGTCAGAGGACAAAGGTTTGCATCCCTTGGGATGGAAGTCATTTGATATGCGTGCCGTTGTTGCAGCCACAGAAGATCTCATGCATTTCATTCTATCTGAAAAGGGTCAACTAGTTCGTGTCTTCCTCCTGCGGGATATAATTAGAGCAGCAGATATATTCCTACAGGATGAAGTTGAGTTGTAGAGTAGATGCTGAAAATAAAGAAAGGAAAACAACAAAACAAGAGGTTTGTGATGTCTTCGTGATTAAAATCCCGTACACTGAATTAACTTGAAACGATTTGCCTTGAGGTTTGTTTTAATACGTGTTTGGTTTGCCGTAATATTGCAGGACCATGCAATTCTGACAAGAGTCGTAAATGGGTTTGGGTCACTGCGTGCAGCGGTGAAGCTAGCCCCAGAGGTTTGGACCCCAATGTTCATCCGCATAGCATTGAACCCTCAAACCCATAGCTTTTTGCAGACATGATATCAGCCTTGATGATGCGGTTCAACAACAAAGTTTCGGAGATTTTCTGGGTCTGTATATCTTCACAAATACACAAATGGGCAAAAGCCCAAAGATCTCATAATCCATAGTGATAACACACATGGTTTTTAGAATCGGACCGGTTAGTAATCCGGCCATGCTACCGGTTCACTGATTTAACCGGTCGAACCGGTCCGACTGGTCGGAAGAATCAGATGACGTCATAATTATTTAAAAAATTAAATAAAAATACCAAAAATATTTAATAAAAAATAATTTTTTATATCACAAGTCATATTCAAATCAAGTCATAACATATATAAGTTAAAAATCATAAAATCAAGTGAAATAAAATGATTTAAATTAGTTACAACATAATATTTAAGGTAAAACATATTAAATAATAAATATAATTATATAATTATAATTAAAAAATAAATTTGGGGTTAAAAAAAGAGAAAATAACCTCAGTGACCAAAAATCCCAGATAATATACGATTTTGACCAACAAAATCGCAATGCGATCTCTAATTCGCATTGCGATCTCCACTATCGCAAATTCGCGTTGCATTTTGTGTTGCGATAGTTGAAAATCGCGTTGCGATTTTCCATTTCGTGTTGCGATAGTTGAAAATTTCGTTGCGATTTTTCATTTCGCGTTGCGATAGTTGAAAATCGCGTTGCGATTTTCCATTTCGCGTTGCGATAGTCTACAGTCGCGTTGCGATTTTCCATTTCGCGTTGCGATAGTTGAAATTCGCGTTGTGATTTTCCATTTCGCGTTGCGATAGTCTACAGTTGTCGTTGCGATAGTATACAGTTGTCGTTGCGATTTTCCAAATTCGTTGTGATAGTTAAAAAAAGATTTTGTTTCTTAAGAATTTTCTCTAAAAAGATAGTAGCCGCGCGAACGTGTCGAAGACACGTATTACCATTACCATTACCACGACCACGACCACGACCACGACCCGACCCGACCCGACCCGAGACGGACGGCGGCGGCGGCGCGCGAGAGTCCCCCTTGTTCTCTATCACTCAACAAGGAAGTGGGAAAGCCAAGCCTTAAATACCATTCCCAATAGTGTTTCCAATACTATATGGGATTTGAGCATTACCAACACTTGTTCCCAATACTATGTGGGATTGAGCCTTAAATAGTGATATTATTTTTGAATGTTTTGCTTAAAATTGCAATAATCGCGATTGATTGTAGATTGACTTTTAATTATGACATATTTAATCGTATAATACTAATGTAATTGGTTGTTGATTCAGTTGTTTTAAGGTGCATGATTGTTAATTGTTTCCTGAATAATCACAATGTATTGGAAACAAGTGTTGGTAATGCTCAATCCCACATTGTATTGGAAACACTATTGAGAATGATATTTAAGGCTTGGCTTTCCCACTTCCTTGTTGAGTGATAGAGAACAAGGGGGACTCTCGCGCACCGCCGCCGTCCGTCTCGTCTCGGGTCGGGTCGGGTCGGGTCGTGGTCGTGGTCGTGGTCGTGGTCGTGGTAATACGTGTCTTCGACACGTCCGCGCGTATACTATCTTTTTAGAGAAAATTCTTAAGAAACAAAATCTTTTTTTTTCAACGAATTTGGAAAATCGCAACGACAACTGTAGACTATCGCAACGCGAAATGGAAAATCGCAACGCGATTTTCAACTATCGCAACGCGAAATGCAACGCGAATTTCACCTATCGCAACGCGAAATGCAACGCGAATTTGCGATGATGGAGATCGCGTTGCAATTTCAACTATCGCAACGCGAAATGGAAAATCGCAATGCGATCTCCAACTATTGCAACGCGAAATGGAAAAACGCAACGCGATTTTCAACTATCGCAATGCGAAATGCAACGTGAATTTGCGATAGTGGAGATCGCAATACGAATTAGAGATCGCATTGCGATTTTGTTGGTCATTTTCGCAAATCCAAAAAAAGTTGGTCAAAATCGTATATTATCTAAGATTTTTGGTCACTGAGGTTATTTTCTCTTAAAAAAATTATAACAAAATGATATTGTTTGGTTTAATTTTTTTTTTAAAAAAAAGCAATCTCACATGGATATGAAATATAAAAGAGCATCCCAAAAGTCTAAGGAGTAAAAATATGAGAACAAAATAATCTCACATGACTAAGAAACATAAAAGAGCATCCCAACTAACTTCTATAAATAATAGAGGTAATTTGTTATTCAAAATCATGGAGCATTTTGGTGAGCATTGAGTGAATTATTTTTTCACTTCAATCAAACTCGAATTTTATGCTTCAATAGAGCTTCTAAATTTTTTTTGAGTTCAAGCCTTTTCGAGTTCAAGTTTTAATATTATATTTCGAGATCGAGTTGAACTTGATAATTTTTAGCTCGCGAGTTTAAGTCAAGTTAAGCTTTTAAAGTTTTCAAGTTCGAGTCGAGCTCAGCAATACTCGAGTTCGACTTGGCTCGTTTAACAAATGACATCGTATGGTTTAATTTTTTTTTAAAAAAAAAACAAAATTGACAGTTTTTTTTCGGTTGTTCTCATTTTTTTTCTGATTTTTAGCCGGTCCGGTTCGAACGGTTCAGTGGTTCCGACCGGTTCACTAGTAGCGGTTCAACCGGTGTAGATTGAATCGGACTAGGTAACGATTTTTTGTTAAACCGGTTGAATCGACCGATCCGATCTGATTTTCAAAACACTGATAATACATCCATTAGCAACAGGACAGAGAGTGATGAATTCTGAGAGTAGGTTGGTATTCCAATTTATTTTAATTAAATTAGGCGTCCGCTGTATTGCTTCCATTTGGCAACTGATGCCATCTTCCTTCCGGGTCGGGATAATGTAATTAATTTTGTAGAGAAAAGAAGTGGGTATAAGATAATGTATTCTCAGTCTCATTTAATCCAGCATATATTTTGTTTTAATACGTATTTATTGATCGAAGACGTTCAATCATGTGCGCACCACCTGTATGCTTCAACGTTCAATCACCTTATATAAAACCACGTGGGTTGACTTAGTCTTTGCCTTCAATTATTACTAACGGTTTTGCAACGAAGAACAAACCAACCAAAATCCAACTGAGAATCAAACAGAAACGGAAACAAAATCATTTCATCACTCTAAAACCGTCTGCTAATCTCCCATTTGTAAGTCTCGTCTTTTTCTTCCCTATAAAAACGCTTTGTATGAACTTTCCTTTGCATTTCCCTCTCTCTCTCTCTGTCTCTCTTCGTTTACAGTTGTTAGTATGTATGGCATTTCATTTCTCCTTCTTCGAGCATTATTTTTAAATTAGACTTTTATTTATTGCATTGGATAATGGATATGTTCGCCTTCAGTTAATATTCCAATTTTGGTTTTAAGTTGGCTCTGGAAATTTTGATTTCTTTGTAGGTTAAAATTTTTGTTGGCTTAATTTTAGTATGGTCCTCCAAGCCTGAAGAGTGGTTTTATCCTTGTCTTTCATCTGCTAAAATATCTATCCTCGGATAGAAATGTTTTTGCTATTCCCTGATTTGGATACAAGGCGGCAAAATCTTAATAAACTCCAGCCATAATATGGGATATCTGTATTCGGTTTTGCAATCTTCAAGCCAGGTTCACGAATATCGACTTTTCTGTGGCGGAGGCCTTAGGTTGCTGTTTTTTCTTCTGTCATTACTATCTAAAATTTTGTTGGATTGATGCTCTTCTTTGCTTTGCAAATTCCATATGGTTCAACATCATGTTTACCTTTTTGTTCTGGTTTGCACTTTGCATGTCTTTCTAGTGTTCACTCATTTATTCTGAACTCCTTTTTTGTTATTTGTTTTTTTAATGAATTTTTGAATATCCGTTCATAATTGAATATTGAAACATATCCTTTAAGTTTTACAGTTATTGATAGTGTTACTCTTCAATAAAACGCCATGTAGACAAAGTTCCCTGTTTATTTGGATAGTTCGCTATAGGTAAATCTCCGAATGCATCTCAATTGGAGTTTTTATTTAGACTCCAACAATCTTTCTTCAAGTGACCATTCTTTCCACAGTTGTAGCACTTTAAATTCTTCTTGCTTTTCGACTTCGATCTACCATGTTTGTGACTGCTGCTTTGGCCACGTTCTGTTGATCTCCCTCTCATCGTTGTCAACGCTTCTACTTGTTGCAGATTTACTTGTCCGTCTTCCTTGCTCTTGCACCGATTTTCTTCTTGTAGAATAGCAGCTGCAACGTCATCGAAGACTAGACTGGTGACATTATTGTTTGTCAAGTTGATGATGAGTTGATCATACGAATTCGGTAGACTTTTGAAGTAGAAGTTCAGCACGTTCTTGTTCTCCTATTTTACAGCTTAAGGATGTAAGCTGAGAAAATAAAGTGTTAACTGTATTTAAGTGCTCCGTCACTGAAGTAGATTTTGGCATCCGGAGAGTGTACAATTTCCTCTTAAGGAAAATTTTATTGTGCAACGATGTGACCTCGTACAATTTGGTGAGATGATCTCATATCTCCTTAGTTGTCTTCTTCTCCTCGATACTTGACAATATTTCATCTGCTAATGCCAGATGAAAGTTTGCCATAGCATTCTCGTCCATTTCGATCCATTTGTTGTCACCTGTGAAATCTACCGGCCTTTCACTGATAGTTGCTAGACAACTGTCTTTCCTCAGGATTACATTTATCTTCAATTTCCACAATGAGAAATTTCTGCCATTGAATTTTTCAATATCAAATTTCGTTGTCATAGCTTCTATTACGGATAGCTCCCACTATTTCACTATCGTGAATAGTTCTCTGGAACTTTCAAAGAATGGGTAATAACTTCTTACTTTCTTATGTTGGAGGATCCACCTTTTGGTGGCAACCACAAAGACAATAAGCAGATATTACACACTCAAATCTGGCTCTGATACCAATTGTTGAAGAAGATAGCTATCGGATAGAGCAAAATCGCAACAAATAATTTGAGAAAATAAAAATGAAGATAAAATAGACACAAAATTTACGTGGAAAACTCCTAAATAATATAAGGTAAAAACCACGGGCAACGGTAGAAGAATTTCACTATGAGAAAACATAAATTACAACTTCTCTCGATCTATCAAGGAGAAAACAATGATAATTCTCTCTTGATAAAAAAAAGAAAACAACTCTCAAGAAACTCTCTAAATTCTCTCTAGTATTGGAAGAAAGCTAGAATGCTTTGGGATGATTTTAAAGTTAAATGAGCCAGAGTATTTATAGTTGAAGCTTAAGGACTAATTTGTAAATACCATAAATTACAATGACTAGAATTGACAGTTACCCATTACATATTTTCAGTAAAATCTGCATCGAATTTGACTTAACAAATGCGGTGTCCCTTTTTTTGACTTTTCAACAATTGGCTTTCCAGGTAACTGATGTTTCGTCCAAATTTAAATCCAAATTTTCAAAATGCAGTACCATTGTAGGTATTACCGACTTATCATACCCCTCCAAGTTATAGCATGTATCCAGTACATTATCAGGATAAGGAGGAGGGACAGGAGGGTATTTAGACATCAATCCTTTGAACTCCAAGTGCAGTGCTGGATAGACCGAAGAAGGAAAGCGAGTAATAACAGTTCCTGAATCTAAAATGGTTCTGAGAGATGATACACAATAACCAGTGCCAATATCGACTCTTTTCTGGCCTATTGTTATGGCAGTAAGATTTACATAATAAAAGTAGGGATCTAATTTGCCCCTTAGAAGCGGTGTGTAAGAATAAAAATATGGGCCGTTTCCACGGGCTTTGTCCCCAAAATAAACATATCCCTTTTTTCTTTTTCTTTTTCTTTTTTGTAGCAAATGGGGCTACTAAAGTCAGTGGGAGGATCTTCTTCTCGACTCTAGCATGTCAGAATTGAGAAAGCTTAAAACTTCTGTGGGAGGGTGTGTAAACACCCGTTCGTCCAAGAGACCTTTTCCGATCGATTCTGGCAAGACTGTTGGCCAGCTTATTCGCTTCGCGTGGAATATGCCTCGCCGTGACCCTCCACACGGGCGATGAAAAATAGCTCCGAATTCTCCTCAAGAGTGAGGGAGACAATAACAAAATACCTTGTGAAACATTATCGCAGTTTGAGATGTAAGAGCATAGCTACCACCATATCCTGTGCTGCCCAAACCTAAGCCTAGTATCCCATTTGCGTCGTCAAAGTCCCTTTTTACATGATCGGCACAAAGGGAAAAAAAATTAGGAATCTCATACTCGTCCTCTATATGAAGCGTATCCACCATATTAAGTTCCATCGACTTTGGTTTTGTCATTGTATTTCTCTCCATCATTTCCTTTACAAGGTGGCGCCGAACATGTGGAATTGGAGTAAGTTAAGGAACAAGAAGGATAATACAACGACTGGTTTTGTTGTTGCGGGTAGGGTAACGTCGTAGAAGGTTGGCACTGTACCCAGGTTTTGCAACTGCCCGTGTCCATAGTCAAATTAAAAGTTTGTACGGGTGTGCCAAAACCAGCTTGCACCAGATAATTGCTAGAACCTAGTTAGTCTTTTAGAACATCATGCTCTCCCACCCTTCCACTATTCCAGACACCTGCACGCCTATTGTATACCCTGGAATACATGACTCGAACCCCGACGATCCTCTTGGGCAGGAATCTGGCTTGAAACCGTGGTCGATCTCTTTAGGCCAAATGGTGAGCAGGTCCATATTTATGGACCACCCGCAAACCTTTTTCAGGACCTGAAAAATGTGATGTTATTCATATATACGTTTATGTAATAATGATAATGCTAGAGGATGAGGTAAATTACTAAGCAGTGAAATGGAATGGAGTGTGAGTTGTTTTTCTCCAACACGGTAGCACCATGACCAAATGGGTTATTAAAAGAGATGAAAAGGATATAGCACAAGAAAGTATAAGCAATGGCCATAAAAGGTGAGGAACCACTCGTATTTCTTATGATTGCAGTTCCACTTGATGTTGTTATCCTAGTTTGGACAAGCATATATAGAGTGAGAAATGAAGTGAAATCGTTGTTTCCAGGAAACTATGAAATTGAATTGTTTGCAATTGCAATGGCCAAAATATTCGAAACTTGAAAAATTCTATTTGGGGTCAAGGAACACGCTGAAGACTTGGAGGCCCAATAAACCAAGTCTTGGTGTTGATATAAAGCATGCGTCTTTATAAGTCTCATCTTGTCTTAGTTCCGTAAACATTACGGGCATTTCTTTTTGTCCCGAATCCGATACTGACCCCTCCTTCAAACAAAACCTTCTCAAATCTTTTTTTTTGTGTGGAAAAACAACTCTATAAAATTAAATAAAATCAAAATTCGATAGTTTATGATTTTCTACTCATCCCCACACCCACTTGAATACTTTGTTAGTATTACTGCAACCTTTGACTCATTTTGGTGAATGAGAATACAGAGCAAATTTACACGAAGGGGATTCACATAATAATTTAGATTATATGATCTAAACATTGCGTATGTTGGACTTCTAAGAACCAGTCTCATCCTTTTGTTTTATGACGATTTATTATGCGCGGGGAAGACCCAACTGTTCATATGTTGAAGGCAAATAAAATTAAACAACGAAAAATAACGCATATTTTGTTAATTTCAAAATTGAAGTTATGCTTGATTGGTAACATGCACATTTTGAAACAATCTCAATTTCATGTCATTTCGAATCGTTCTAGTAAATTTGTAATACTTTAATTTTCTGAATTGGATAAATCCAAATTTAGATTCTTTTTAAAAAAAATTCTTATGAGGCCATCCTCATTCTGAGCAGATGCCCATCAAACTTGAGACATGCATGCCATTAGCTTTCCAGGTAACTGCTGTTTGGTCCAAAATTTCAACATGTAGTACCATCTTAGGTATTTCCGGATTAGCATGCCGCTTTAAGTTATAGCAGGAATCTAATAGTTCATGGGGAGGAGCACAAAACTGTGGGGTATTCCGTCATCCATCCTCGAAACTCTGAGCGCAGCACCGAATAGACCGAGGAAGGTAGACGAGTAATGATAGTTCCTGAATCTAAAATGCTTCATGGGAGGGAATACCGACTCTTTTCTGCTTTGTTGTTATGGCAATAAGAGTTGCACGATAAAAGCTGGTGGGTTCATCACTTGGTTTACTTAGAAGCGGATCAAAATCTAGCTTGAAGTGGCAGCTGTTTAATTAATTAATTATTAGTGTACTTATTTTTTTAGGTACAAACTATTTTTACATCACTGTCTAGTCAAACTTTTTAATTTCAAACTACACATCAACAAAGTTAACAGATTCCAGTACAGTTAAATTTTTAATACTCCATTAAAAAACACAATCTTTTGAAATATGCTCGAAACTAATACATACAGTGCAGAAATCCAGTATCCTCTTGTACATGAACAAGATTCTGATATGATATTTGGATTGCCGCTGAAAACGCCATAAAAGCACCACAAAAGAAAGATACACCAACTCAGAAAATAACCAGTGAACCAAACCCAAAAGAAATAGTAATAAAAACAAGACACCCAGTCAGAAAATAACCATCGACTTATAGGCAACTACCGGGTCCAATTTCCACCCTCTGATCTGGGATGTTATAGAGTATGTTCAGATTCTGTTGTTGATGATTACCAATGATCGTGAGATCATCCTCATTCT